CCAAGGTTGGGACCTTGACAGGCAGGTTCAATATACAATGAGATGAGAAAGTTGAAGCTGCTAAAAAACAAATGGTATGGGTAATGGATGAAAGAATGAACATCTGAATAAAATTCTTTTACTTTAAAGAAGCATTCTTACTCATACTAAAGGAAGTTGAAACAGTTAAATTTGTGAGTTTCACTTATCTAATTTTGACAGTCCTACTGGGCTTCCTTATCTTGCTAATAAAAATATAAAATGTAAATACACTATAGCAATTTTAAGCTACTTGCCATGATTTTTCTTTTTTTTTTTTAAATCAGGGATTGAACTCAAGGGCACTCAGCCACTGAGCCACATCCCAGCCCAATTTTTGTATTTTATTTACAGATGGGGTCTCACTGAATTGTTTAGTGCCTTGCCATATGCTGAGGCTGGCTAYGAACTCGAGATCCTGTCTCAGCCTCCATAGCCTCTGGGATTAYAGGCGCATACCATTGTGCCCAGCAATTTTTTTTTTTTTAAGGAAAATCCTATTACAGAATTCTTACTAGAGAGAAGCATCATATACAAGTAGAMTATCACAGTTTTACTACCATGAAAATACCTACAACTGAAGTTTGCCTTTGAAATAAGAATATGAAGTAAAGAGCTGGGTGTGTGGGCTGTGGATGTGGCTCAAGCAGTAGCGCACTCAGCTAGCATGTGCCGAGTTCTGGGTTCGATCTTCAGCACCACATAAAAATAAAATAAAGATGTTGTGTCCACCAAAAACTGAAAAAAAAAAAAAAGAGCTGGGTGTGGTAGTGCACACCTATAATCCCAGCTACTTGCGAAGCCTAGGCAGGAGGATTGCAAACTCAAGGCTAGCCTCAGCAATTTAGTGAGGCTCTAAGTAACTTAGCAAGACCCTGTCTCAATATGAAAAATAAAAAGGACTGGGAATGTGGTTCAGTGCTAAAGTGTCTCTGGGTTCAATCCCCAGTACCTAAATCAATCAATCAAACACAAGGTAAAGAAAAGATTTAAATAATCAAGCAATTAAGTTTAAAAAATTCCCCTGGATTTTTAAAGTTAAGGTATTATTTTTTCAATGGCATTACATTACTCATAAGCGGTCTGGGGTTGTGGCTCAGTGGTAAAGCGCTCGACTAGCACGTATGAGGCAATGGGTTTGATCCTCAGCACCACATAAAAACAAACAAACAAATAAATAAATAAAATAAAGATATTGTGTCCAACTACAACTAAAAAAACTTTTTTTAATTACTCATAAGCATCTCTGAAAATACATTACTTCTCAACTAATGGGGTAAAATCAAGATTTTAAGAAATTCTCAGTAATGTAGAAAGGACAGTTTTTTCTCTTAATATTAGTCACAAAATAAAAATTGTTGGAATTTTATGTATCTAATGGATATTCTAAACGTTGGACTATTCGGGGTGTTTCCTCTACTGATTATAAAAAAGAAACAGCCTGTTTTGAAAGATTTAATATAGTATATAACCAAGCACTTTTAATGAAAACTGAGAGAAAATGTAAAAGTATTTAGTATTATGTGTAATTTAACTAAATTTTCATTTGAGGAATTTCTTCAATTCTCTGTACTTCCATTTTTTTACTGGTACTTTTTAGTTATACATGACAGTAGAATCCATTTGACATAATTATACAAGTATAGAATATATCTTATTGTAGTTAGGAACCCATTCTTGCGGATGTACAGGATGGTGGGATTCCCTGTGATGTTTTCACGTATGTACATAGGAAAGTTATGTCAGATTCATTCCACTGTCTTTACTTTTCCTATCCCCCCTCCTTTCCCTCCATTCCCCACTGTCTAATCTAGTGAACTTCTACCCCCCACCACCACCACCACTTTATTGCCTTTCTATGGGTTAGCTTTCTTCCACATTATCAGAAAGACCATTCGACCTTTCGGGGACTGATTTCTCTTAGCATGATAGTCTCCAGATCCATCCATTGCTTTTTAAATTTGAGACTTTTCAATTTTTAAATAAATTTCTAGGACTTAAGATACCTCTACAATTACCCTCTTCAAATTAAAAAAAAAAAAAAAAAAAAAGCCTAACACTGCAAATAAATTGGGAAGAGATGGATAAATTTCAAAAATATATACTGCTTAATTTGAATCAACCAAAATTTGACCTTACTATATATCAAGCTTTGTATTAGGTCTATCTTAAGTCTATAGTTATACCAATGGTATAACTATATTTATTTTTTTAGTTAAAAAAGTTTAACTGATAACATAAAAACAAAAAAGTTGTACATATTAATAAGGTGACATGATATTTATATATATATATATATATATACACACACACACATTACATAATATTTAAATCAGGTTAAATATATCTCCTCAAGCATTATCAATGCTTTATGGTATACATTTTTAATAGTTATTTATATAGGCTATTTTATGCCAACAAAATTTGTATAATATACTCTTGCCTTCTACAAAAGCAAGTGTGAACCATCGATGCCAATTAAYCTCCCAATATAAAAAATTCTAATTGTTAAGACTTCTTCCTCCCTACAACTATCTCTAAAATCTATCAATTCCTTATCATGAATTACATATCCTCCCTAAGAAAAAATCACTAAGCCCTGGTACTGCCATCAATCTCAAATCCCTATTTTCAATGCCATTCCATCCTATACTCACTAATAACAACTCTATTATCTCTTCCACTGGACCATTACAAAYTCCCCATACATCCTCCATCTATTCCCAAACATTCCTCCTGCTACTTTGGCTTCAGTAAAATCCCAAAGCCCCTAAAAGCACCATTTTTTAGTAATCATTTCTTAAAAAATGTGCTACTTGCTGGGTGTGGTGAAGCATGTCAATAATCACAGTAAGTTGAGAGACTGAGGCAAGGCGATTGCAAGCTTGAGGCCAGCCTCAGCAACTCAATGAGACCCTGCCTATAAATRAAAAACAAAAAGTACTGGGGATGTAGTTCAGTGGTAAAGTGCCCCTTGTTCTGATCCCAGTAATAAGACAAAACAAAGATGCTATTTTTCCTATTCTCCTAGAAGGATACTGTTTGCAGACCATTCTTATTTAATGCTTAACTTTTCCTTTTAAAAAATTATTCATAAAAAATACCTCTCCTCCTGTCTTGGACACCATTTCCTATTATCTTACCCAAGGCACTTTTCTTAATAACAACTGGCTCCTAGTTTTATTCTCCTGTGTTCATGAATTGAACATCTGCAATACTTTTTCTAGATTCTGGCCTCAATATCAATGTCCATCTCATCTTCTCTATTCCAATACCTTTTCATCCTGAATTGGTAATTTATTCAGAGAAATTCTGAATAAATTCCTTTCTGTTCATAAATTCTCGMATTATATTTTTTCTCACTGCCTCATTTCTGTTAACCTTGCTCTTGGCTCTCCCCCAAATGCTTTCTAGTCCCTTGATCTTTTTTTCTCTCTCAATATATTAATCTGGCTTTCTTACCCAAACCCAAATGCAAGTAAATGCATTCTAAAAACATCTTGCTAGCTTCATCAACTTTCTCTTCTATTTTCCCATTTTGATAACTCTAGATAAGCCCACTACCTGCTTTGTTGCTTCTACCCTCAAATTCTCAGTGAGGAAATAATGATGACATTGGTTGTGCCCACTATTAAGGTACACTATATTCTATACATATACACTTTACCATGAGGTAAAGCACTTTGACTGTTTTGTACACTGTCTTATCTCCAGTATTTTATGGTCATTACATAGTACACCAGAGCATTCAACTAGATTTATAAAATAAATGTAGTACTATGTTTCTCCTGTTTAGATTCACACAAAATTCACTAGTGTAATCATTCTAAACCCTTTGATTTTTTCAAGTCTGAAAACCATTTACTTCAAAAGGCTACATCYCCTATTAAGAAAATGAAAGTTGGGGTCAGAGGTAGAGCACTCGCCTACCACATGAGMGCAMCACATGAAATTAATTAATTAATTAAAGGTATATAAAAAAGAGAAAACGAAAGTCTTCCAATGTGAATTAACTTGATTATTATCATTATTTTTATTTCTTTTATCTATCTTCCCTAATGTGCTAAAAGGAAAATTAATTTTATAATTCTTTTTATTTCACTAAATGCCTATTACATAGCAAGCATCTGTTAAAACCTGTGACACACTCACATCTAACCATTTTTCTTGTCCTATTCTGTTATAGTCTTCCAGGAAAAAAGCGAAACAAAACAAATACACACTCTGAGAATTATAATGAAGATATAAATCAACTACCAATTTGTATTTCTACACAGCAGTCTCATTGCAGGTCCTCATAGGGAAGCTGAAAATCTGTTGCTTTCATAGAAAGCAAGAATATAGTAAACAAATTTTGAAAATAGGCTTTCTTAAAATCTTAACAGTAGAATTAAATTCATATTCTGAGATATTTTTAAAGACCAATTATTTCTAAAGTGGTTTTGACATAATTTCTTCTGATCTTCAACCTTTAGTCATTTAAATTCCAAAGTGCCCTTAACTTTCCCTGAATGAACTTTCCCTAGTAATGACTTAACATGTTTCAATGCACTAGGCACAAAAAATTCATGTTAAAAGTAATTTTAAACAACTAAAAGAATTTCAATAACAAGTATAACAAACTTAAAAAACAGTTTTATGAATAAAAGATAAAACCAATTAGCAGACTGTGGAAGGACATTTCAGATTAAATGGATTTTGAAAGAGGTTATACTAATAGTTGTCATACAATAAATTTGAACTCACATGGTCTGAGGAAATTCTGTGAAGGCATATTTGAAAAGATACTTCACAAACCATTCTAGTTATTTAGTTATTAGGAATAGCATGGAAGGCTGGCCAAAATAATATGCCAAAAAGCAGAGCAAACAAGGCAGCAGACCCAGAATATTTGTACAGCCCTCAATCATACACTGGATACCAGTCTCCATCATAAAGTGTTCAGCTACAATACAAAGGAAAATAATATAATGTCAAATTACCTATTTAGAAACAAGTTTTGCAGCTCAGAAACAGCTCCTTTTCTGCTTCACACTTTAAAGTTGTTGTCTGCATATGATAAAAAAAATCACTTCAGTAAATTCTTAACACTGTGAAGTACAGAATAATAAATATTACATTTGTGGTCTAAAATATATTTAGGAAATCAACAAAGAATAAAAATATAATTTATCAGTATTTTTAAGCTTAAGTTACCTTAACTCTTTTGGAAAACGGTGCATTTAAATGTTAAAATTCCCCAAACCTCTAACACCCTACCAAACTGCAAAATGATATCTTAACATCTATTTTGTAATAGTAATGAAAACAGCTAACTCCTATTATCATTGAAAAATCCGTGAGAAAGTTGATTCTGATTGATCAAGTCATTAACTTTCTATCACTATTCAAGAACTTTGGTCATACGATGATGAAAAATGCAAGGCTAGCTCCTTCATAACAAARTAATCCTGTCTCTATGTAAACACAAAGTGTACCTTCAGTTTAAAAATTCAGTATTATAACGGCATCCAGTTGCCCTCACCAGGAAGGTGATAGGGAGAGAAAGGAGCAGGTGCAACACCCACTCGGGTAACCAGAGAATACCAGAAGGCGGGGTCTGGAAAGCGGTTAAGGGGCGGAGATGAAGTGGGCGCCCAGAAAGCCCGCTTTCCAAAGCCAAAACAAGATCCCCATAGTTCAACCGACCCAAACCTCAAACCGTCCAGGAAAAAAAAAAAAAAAAAATCCTAACAAGGTGAGCTGCGGGATGTTGGGCCGCGGGATGAAAAGTGAGCTCTACTGTCCCCCCACCAATGGGGCCAAATACCTAATCCCTAAACGCCAGTTTCTGCAAAGTAAGCAACGTTTCCCAAATCCCACTCAGCATTTCATTTCCCCAAATTCTTGACCCTAACTAGATCTGCAAAAGGGATGGAGAACAGGGGCAACAGGAGGAGTGGGAGGGAGAGAGCGCTATTAAATCAACATTCCCTTCGCAAGTAATAAACCACCTCTGGTCCAAAGTCAGGAATGCCGACCCTCGCTCGGTTACTTTCAGAATACTAGAGAGCAGAAATCCGGCTGCTCACAGGCCAACCCAACCCTGTAAGGGTYACGACGCTCCTCGTCTGCCCTTCTCCACCCAGGAGTCTGGACGTCCATAGCCCCACAGAATGGAATTTGGGGGGTGGGGTAGGAGGAAGCACGATGAAGGGGCCTCCAGCCACCATGGCCTTCCTTTGAGAGCTCGACTCCGACACCCAAACGACAGCCCTCGCTCTTTCTGTCTCCACCCGTAAGGGGGCATTCCTGGAGCACCCCAGAAGCAGGGTGACATCCTCCCCAAGTCTACGACAAGAGAGACGGGGAGTCTGCAGTCGCCAACGCGTCCCCAGAAGCTCACCTCGGAGATCGCGTCGATCGGTCCGGGGGAGGGGCGGACTGTCTGCCTAGGGGACGAAAAAGAGGCAGCAAAAAGTCTCAGGAGACACCGAGGAGGCGTGGGTCCCAGGTCAGGCCCAACAGGGTCAAGCGTCCCAGAGCCGTTGCTCTCCCGCCCCTGTGGCGCGCTGTCCTCGGTTGCCAGGGACCGGGAACGCGGAGGCTTTACCTGTAAACGAAGCAGCCGCTCCTGCCAAGGGCGCAGCGGCGGTCAGCCCCCACGACCCGCCACTGGCAGCGTTCCTCCCTTAGAGACCACAGCAGGGAGGGCCACAAGTTCCCTGACTGCCTAGAGCTCAATGGCCGCCTTTCTACTTTAGGTACTCGGCGCCAACCGCCGCAGCCACCGCCATCTTAGGACCTCATTGTGGTGGGAGAAGCGGGGCGGGGGGACTGCAGAGGGGCAACGCGAGGCGAGACATGCGCCGTCACCTCGGAAACGGCCGCGCGGGGGCGAGAACTCGCCGGGGCGGGAGCCGCAATGCGATCTCAGTAAGCGCTAGACTCGAGTCACGTGACCCGCCAGCGTCTACCCTGTCCTCTTGCCTTTTAGTCAGAACGGATTACACAAACGAACAACCAGAGACTACGTAGCCCAGAATGCAAACTCGGTCTCGGGTTATAAATTCCCTTCCGCTTTAGGGAGAGAGACTACAAATCCCAGCAGTCTGTGCGCTTCCAGGACGGAGGCCTGTGCRGAAGTGGATTGGCCCCTCCGGACCCTGGAGATAGAGCGTGGGGCGGGGCTAGTTTTCTGTGGGGGTGTCAGCTCCAGGTGGTGCCCCAAGGAGGAAGAAAGACTGAGGTCGCASTTTCTGTCTTTCTTACCCAGAAACTGGTCGCGAAGGGAAGGAAACAAAACAGCCCTGACGATCTTATCTAACCCCCTAATTTTAACGTGAGGAAATAAATCCTCGGAAATTAGTTTGCCACACCTTATATATACCTAGTCGGTGGGAGAATCATAAATATTGTTAATAATGAATACTATTTTAGAATCACGTCCTGCTTTTTCCTTAGAAGAAAAAGATATCTTTAATCATTAGAGTTTAATCTCTGGAAACTTTCTCATAACCTGTAGCCTTTGAATTCCTTTTATTTGTACCCTTCTGTTAACAGCTCTATTAAGATTAACAAATTKACGGATTATCTCTTTAAAAACAAATTCGATAAAGGAGGAGAACTCCTTAAGTTAAAAACAATTGTCAATTTTAGTTGAGTGCAAAGGCATTCTAGCTTTAGACAGTTTATATTATGGGATAACTTTTTTTTTT